CGGGGCACACGCAGAGGTGCTCTGGTCACCGTTCATTTTCCCAGGTGGTCCCTGTTGCAGAGCCGGAGGAAGCCGCGGTGAAGAGCCACTGAGAGCGGACACAACCACTCTCCTGAGGGCTCCGACGCGGCGCCTTCGTTTTCTGCGTCGGGGACCAGGTCTGTCCGTAGCGCCTGCACCCTTGGCCACCCTCGGGCAGATGCAGCCGGGAATGGCCTCGACAAGGCACCTGGGGAGTGCGAGCAGCTCCTTCCAAAGTCGTGTCCCTGGTCTCTGGTCCCCAGTCTGCGCCCACTTCTCCCACAGCCGCCGGTTACCCGGTCTCCTCTGCCTGCCTGCCGTCGCCTCCTTTCTTCCTTTCCCCAGCAAGGGGTTTGGTTTGTTTTGCCTGGGTGTAGGGGGAGGGTCCCAGGCTACTGGCCTCCTTACCTGGGGCCTTTGGAGATTGCATTTGAGCAGAACAGGAGCTGTCGGGCACACGATACCGAACCTACGAACGTATGAGAGGACTAATGTACCTTGGGGCTCGTGGCAGGCGTAACCTGCAGCACCAGTCCAGTCTCAGGATGTGTACAGCTCTAGGCCCAGGGCACATCATTCCACCGCAGAACAAGACAGTTGCGTCCCACAAAGGTATGTGGGTTACTGAGCAGAGACAGTGGAGATAAGTGCTGTTTCGAAATGTGGGAAGAACTTGTGGGGCAGAAATAGTGCATAAAGACAAACTATTAGAGATATCCGGTCTTTTTAGAGGCATGGCCGTACTAGGTTTTTGCATTCCCTTGTACTGTGTTCAGGAGAGGCAAGCATTTTCCCACTTCTCTTCCTGTTCCATTTCACTGTCCACAGGTAGTTGTTAATTAGTACCTGATGTCCAGTAGTTTCTCAAGGTGACTCGGAACATTTTGCAATATCAAACAATCCATATCACTCTGAACTAAAGGTACTTGTAGGTCTAGACATGCATGAAGCACAATATTGATTCTTCACATGGCAGCTAGGCAACTATTGAATACCAGATTAGGGATAGTTTTATTTTTATTAGAATATGTCCGTTTTAACTACATTCTTAAAATTATTGGAATTTTGATTCATTTAAGATATTTTCATTTATAGCTATTAAATATCTAGACAAGTCTCCTCAGGTCCCCTGAAACTTGTATTTGTTTCTTTGCCCACATTCTGCAGATACTGGTGAGGAGATAAAAGATAGCCCACAAATGAAAAACAAAACCAATTTTGTAATTTAATTCAATCCAGAATGGAACACTCAGCCAAACTTATTTCAAGACTGAGGATAAAATACATATATATATTTTCTTATTTAAAAAAAATTTTTGGCAGAGGTTTTTGCTATAGGGCACGTGTGCTCGCCAGACAGAGACAGAGAGACAGAAAGCGAGAAATCACCCCCCAGGGGGGATGGCCACACCGCAATCCCTTCTCCTCCGTTCTCTTGGGGTCTTGGGCACGCATGCACACGTGCCCGGCATGAGTTTTAAGCCATCAGGTTCCGGACTTGAACCACGGTTGATTACATGGGAGTCCAGCAACATAGCCATTACGCTAACTGCTGGCCCCATGATAAAATGTATTTTTTTTTTTTTTTGGAGAGATTTTCACTCTAGGGCGCGTGCGCTC